GCTAAGCACTTACAGGAGAGCTTGCCGGTTTTTGTACTTAAGGCGCCAGAAGAGTAAAAGAAGGCTCTGCAACTTGCCTGTCTTCTATCCTGAGGGGACTTAACGATGGTCAACTCGAACGGGATGGTAAGACGACGAATCGGCACCGATTCCGTCTGCTTCCATGACATCGACAAACTTTTCCCTGCAGCGAAATTCCAGATTCTCATGTTCGACCAATTGGATTCGCTATAAACTCAAAGCCAAACTGACAGGTTTCCTTGACGCAAATCTTTTTGTGAAGCGCGCAGGCCTTGCGGAGGTTGTCCGATGTGAATTGCCAGGGCTATGTTACCAATTACTCTTCTCATGTAAATGTATTTGCGCCAAAGGACACTTTTAAGAAACGCCAATATCAGATTTTTCGTTTGATTTTTGGGCAGGAACTAGATGCTACGACCCAACAAACAATCAAAGCAGCACAAACTCACGAACAAACGCTGCGTTGGAGTGTCAACGCGTCCTCCGCCGTCGACGCCGACAGACCGCAGACTTGATTCCACATCACTCTGAGTGAGTGCAGCACGCCAGCAGCCACCAGACGTGTCCGCTCTGGCACCTGCCCTGTCCCACCAGCCTCGTCCGACTTCCTCGTGTCGGCGTTGGTGGTCTTCGTGAGGAAGCTCCTGGCCAAGCCTAGTTGCGCTTGAAGTTGGGCGAACCGTGTTTGATGATGTTGGACGTTGTGGCGGGAGGTGATGGAGTACACTGGACACGAGAAGGGCAGGCAGTAGGACAAAGCGATCACCTCCGGCAGACACACTGAACACCTAGGGGGACAGGAAAGGCCGCCAGTAGGGGACGCTCGGTAACAACATGTCCGACAGGATCGCCAAGGTAATACGCACTTGTCGGATTCCCGGATGACCGGATGGAAGATGAGCAGCGCAATGAGGTGCGACACGCAGTGGCGAATCTGTTCGTCTCGCCAGAAGCACAAACCAACTACAGGCATACGAAAAAAAGAAGAACGCAAGACTCGTTTACACACAGCTTCGACGGCAGTTGGAGCGGTGCGGCACGACCAACTCACCGAACAGGAGTGAGTGCAGTGTGGACGGCGCGAGGGCGAGTTTGGCGCGTGTTTCGGTGTCGTGGGTGGTGGCGAACTGGAGGGTGGCTAGCTGAGTGCGAATGACCGGCTCAATGCGGAGCTTCTTCGACAGGGTCTCCAGTTTGCTTGGCATCGCGGAGACCCATTCAATCGCAACTCCCGGACCGTCCGCCTCGTGCCAACACCTCAGGCCGTCAGGGGCTAAAACGACATATCGATAAACGGCAGTTTCAGAGGTGAATTTGAGGGTGTGTAGAGACAGGCGGTAGAGCATCAACCCACACAACAACGTGGCCAAGACTCGGTCACCCGCTGTGCACCGCACATCGACTTCGGCCGTGTCGCTTGTGACTAGGGCGAGGGCATTGTTGAAGGAATCTAACGCGGTTACAGGGGTACTTCCGCCGTCGTCGTGCGATGAACTTGGAACTGCAAGTCCAGAAGTTAGACGATGAAGGTTACCAAAGCTGCTTTCAGAGACGGGCTGTGCTTCAGAGAAGATGAGGAGGTCGCAGAGAGTGCTCTCAACGTCTTCCGGGCTCTGTAGCTCCAGGACGTCGTCTACGACATGCCGACGCGAGCCGAGAGACGGCTGTCTGGAGAGAGGTGAGAAGTCGGCTGTTGACACAAAGCTGAAGGCAGCGTCAAGAAGGCGGGTAATTTGCTTGGCGGCTTTCACGCGAACTGTTGGAAGCGGCAGAAGGAGAAGCAGGAGGCTGTTTCGAATGTCCTGAAAAACCCGAGGCGATAATCAGCTTAAGTCAGGAGGGTCAGTTGTTGTGACCTTCCTCCGCGCTAGACCAACCTTGGCGTGTGTGTCAGAAGTTGGATGAGAAGGCTCGAAGCCTCCGAGACCCAAGCAAGCGGCTAGAACGCGTTCAGCGAGGAGCGTCTCACTAGAGTTGGCGCCGGTGGAGGCGTCTTTGTCCGTGCAACCGTTGGCAAGCGGAGCCAAACCAGCCAGAAGAGGCTCAAGGGGGGTCCAGGCAGTGCTGGTGGCACGACGCGTGCAGCCCACGGGGTGGTTGCAACTCGTGGCTGCCAGGAGTTGGACGAACGTCCGCCACAGCTGGTCCGGTATTAGTTGGTAGGCATCCAGGAGCACACGCATGCAGTCCTTGGCTATCGACGCGATCTGTGGGAATTGGAGGGATAGAAAAAAAACTCCGTTGATGTCTAGGTAAAGAAAGCTTTGCCCAAGCAGAAAACGCCTCTCACCTCTGGCACCGCGTCGTGGAGACCAAACTCCACAATTTCGCCGAGGACTTCACTCGAGAGCAGGAGCGTGATGCATTTGTAATTCATTGCGGTGGGATCCGCAGCCTGGTCCACTGATATGCCTGTCTAGATGTGAAAAAATACTACTTAAATTCAGGCGATAACCAGCAATCGCACCCACAAACACCAAGGCATCATTCCTAGTGGGCATTCAGTCAACAAATCGAAGACGATGTTCATTGGTAAATGGATAGAGTGGCACGCGCCTATTCGCTAACTAGCCGGTGACCTTGAAATGCGAAAACGTGATTGGCGGAAGCAAACTCACCGAGAGGATGTTGTGTGTCTGCGAGTATGCGGCTCTTCGGACAGCGTCAGAGGAATGACTGAGAAGCATCAGAAAGTGATGCCGACCTCGCGTCAACAGTGCACCGCAATGATCTTCATCGATTTGCAGCGGGCTAAAAGTGAGGATTTGATTTAAAGGGGCGAAACTCTATTGACCAATGAAAATCAACGTAGCTAAGTATCTACGCCAAAAGTCACATAATTGCAGCCTTTCGGAGATTTGAGACATAAACTCGAAGGAAACTTACAGCTCAGCAAGAAATTGCACGAATTTCTTGACGAACTTTTCCGAAAGAAATTCAACCGCCTCGAGTCCGCTAATCGCCTGGTTCAGGAGACTCTCTAACGCCGGTCTGGTTGATTCCTGCAGAGCAAAAGGTCAAAGGTCAAGTGTCCTTTTGTGCTGATAAAGAACTCTTAACGAGCTGGTCACGATTGTGGAAAAGCCAAATGAAAAATGCTTACCGCCAAGGAGACCACGCCACGCATGAAATCGACAGCAGACCTCACGGCTCTCCTCAAGCCCGTCAAGGTCCTCCAGTGGATGTTGATTTCAGGGTCCAAGTACCGAACGTACGCAGCCAAACCGACGTCTGTGTCGATGCCGCAGATCGTCGAATCGGCGCTGGGACGGAGGACATGAGGGTCCAAGAGGGCCAGGGACAACTCGAAGGCCGTCACTGTGGGCAGGACGTAGGCACACTACAATGCACAGAAGAGCCCACGATGGACTGTCGATTGTACAGGGAAGGCAGGATAATTCCACTCGATGCATGACTGGATTTTTACAGATTTTCAGCGTGTCTATTTCATCCTTGTAACGTACGAATGTCATCGACGACAAATTTGCGCAAACCGTTTCCAGCGGTTCAGGAACTATCTATCCACTAAGGCGCGCTACAGCTGCATTGACCGGAATAAATGGTGGTCGGAAGGAGAGTCAAGTCTGGTGAATATGCCCCGCGTGTGGAGGAGCTTCCCATCCCAAGTTCAAGAGGGTCTTCTGGGTCGCGCGAGCAAAGTGAGGTGGTCGAGCGTTGTCATGCCGCAGTAGCGTCACCGTCTGACGACAAGTTCCCAGGAATTCGTAGTAAAGTAAACCCTTCATACCCAGCCAGACACACAGAACCTGCTTCAAGGGGATGTCTTGCCTCGGCGTCGATGTACTGGGTTGACAAGATTTACCCACGGCGTTCTACGTCTGGAATTCTCGCAAAAAGCACTCTTTTTCATGATCCGTCGCAATTTTTTTTCTGCAAAAGGTCAGAGAAGGGCATGTGTGTATACATTGACGCAGGTTGTGTTCGGTCCACACATGTGGGGTACCCAACTTCCAAGTGCGTGAATTTTTCTCATTCAGTGATGCAGAAGCATGGGAACTAATTGTTTGGGTGACTCCTAACCAAGCTGGAAGCTCTTGCTGAGTCGGCGTCGAGTCTTCATCCAGTAGAGCTTGCAATTCCGCATCTTCACACTTTTGAGGTTGCACTCCGGCTTGCAGCTGGTCGCTGAGATCAGAATCACCACTTCTAAAACGTTTGTTACATAAGCGACACAACGTCGGCACCAAGAACATCACAAATTGAGTCCATTTTTTCCTTGTGAGTGCTATTTACCATTTGCCATCGAAAACTCTGGTATTCTGAGGGGTCATGTAACTCACGTAGACTTGTCGTTCGGTGTTCTGAAACCTTGCGCCTGACCCTTTTTAAACCACAAAAGACCGCGATTGTGTTTCTATTCTATTTTGAAGGAAACATCTGAATAAAATGCTTCGTGGACTAGATACGAGTCACAAGTGCTCCATTCAAACGCTATTCGGGGTCGTAAATATTAAAGATGAGCATCGAATCGGCCTTACGGATTCAGGAGTCCACAGAGCGGAGACGAAACGAAAGAGAGTGCGCACCAGAGCGATGTAGACGCACCGCGAGTAACGAAGCGTGGACAGTGCGTCCGAAGAAGAGTCGCCATCGAGGTCACGTCGCCAGGCCGAGGCAAACGTGGAGATCATAATTCCCCATAGTTCCAGCATATTCTCAAACCCCACTATCTAAAAGGCCAGGTGAACAACTACGCAGAGAGCATACCATGTGTTGCGTGGGTAGCAGGTCTTTTAACGGTGGTTTCGTCGACGACAGCAGGTCCAAGCCGACGGGTTGATCCGCATCAGATGGCACAGATAGCGCACAAAGGAGCAACAGGTCGGCGGAAGTGTTGAGCAGGCGAATAAGTGGCCCGAAAATGGCGACCCGCTTGACTGCCGTCGATTGGGCGGTCAAGAGACGACTTCCACGTCTGGCGGTCCGGGGATTGGCGAGTCCCGAAAGGGCTGCACTCATTAGTGCGACGCACACCGTGGGGATGGATGGATCGTCGGCGATTTTGAAGACGCTCGGCGGAAGAAGACTGCTGCAGAGCGATGCGGATACCGTGGCGTCACTAAGGAACGCCTGCAAGTGGTCTGATAAGGTACTAGGAGGGGAAGTTGGGAAGCTTTTAGTGGATTCAAGCACCACTTGTACCCTACTACAGGTAAGCATGCTATTGGAGTTACTCTTTGTGTTTAAGGAATGCGCATTCACCTGTTTATTTTTCTTTTTAAGACAGTTAGGCCCTTCTTTTGACTACCTGACCTTGGATTTTAATAAGGTGGGCGACCAAAACTGATACGGAAATCTGATTTTCAGTATCTGATAAAATCGAACAGGAGATTTGGCGAGTTAAGGAAGGAGAGAAACAACTCGACAGGAATCACAACGGATAAACTATCCAAACTTCAGCAAAAAAACCTAGTCTGTTCACCAGACACCTTTACCTGAATCTGCATAAAACAAAGCTACTTAATGCCGTGAATTTAAGTAGACGGCACAAGAAGGCCCACAGATTCTACGCGAAACGTGGTGCTGTCACATTGGAGGTGCCAAAATGGCACTTATTGATGCGATTGACCAAGAAAATTTGTTGTACCTAAGTCCTCACTCAGTCAGGGTGGTCATTAGTCGACAAAACCATGAATGCTGTTCATTTAGAACTAAAATCGTGGGTTCGAAGACAGTAGTGATTGCAAAGGATGACAAAATTAGGGAAACAATACAAGAGATTATCGGGATCAAAACAGTGAATCAGCGAAACTCGGGCTTTGTACTATGTAGCAGAAATTGTTCGCCCACAATACGGAAGTTTAACCGATGATAAAAAACATTTGAGCCTAGCTCTAAGTGGGATGGCATCTCAATAACAAAACTACTTCCATGATTGCATCATTTAAAATAGTTGGTAAGGCGTCGTATTAGTGTCAAAAACTCTACACACACTTACTCTGCATCAGATGTGTCAGGGTTCGCTGAAACTACGAAAGAAACATAGTTAGAGTCGCGAAGTAAGCTACACACCTACCTTTCTTTGCACGGTAGTTGTCGGGATTGGCAAAGTAGTGGATTCGAGCGGTTATCTTATGGCAAATTTGTATCAGACAATCAACTGCTGCTTCTTGAACGTGCATACTCTTAGATATTGCAAGTAAAGCAGATAGGAGCTAAAATATTAACATGAATATAAAACCTAAATACCTTAATGAAAACCGGTTTCTGTAGAATCAATTCAATGGGATAATCATGAAGAACCACAGTGGCAAAATACCGAAGTTTAGGCAAAATATTTCTGTTGTCCACGTCCATGAGGGTTCTATGAGAGTCATTTAGTGAAGCTAAACGTACCGAAGAAATTCGGAAAGGAAATCGCAATCTTTTTGTAAGATGTGTATCTTTGGTAAATACTCGACTCGAAATCCTACAAAAATATTTAATTGTACAAGTAGCACAAGTTTGCAGAAAGAGCTGGTCAAATTTTACCACGCATCAAGTGCTAATATTAAATAGGTTGCAACGTACGCTTGGGTCGGTCGTTCGAACGGGACGCTTTTCGTCGCAATGCATCGCGGGGTACTTTAAATTTGTCAAAACGAATAATAGACAGATTACCACCATCTACTTGGATACTGATTTTATCCTGGTTAACAAACGTCTCCAAGCCAAAGTCTTCCTTTCCAATATCACAGACAGCATCAGTGGCATTAGGAGTAAGTTCACGATTTTGTAAACAATTAGAGGCAGGGAGAGGATCCGTCGACTCACAATGAGCGTTTTCACGAATATTTTTCAGCGTTGAGCGTATAATAGATTGGTGCATTCGAAGTTCAGAATTAGACAGAAAATTTGAAAGAATTCTAACACCACCCTGATGTAAAAGATGCAAACACCCATTAGGACTCTAAAGAAAAAATAAAGTTGTACAAGACGGTACGAGGCTTGAGTAGTAGAGAAATTCAATAAGTGCATCCATCTGAGCAGAAGGTCCCGCTTTTAAAGCACATAAAGCAACTTTTATAAAATCTGACATATATTCAGAGGGCAGAAGGCCACGTTTAAGTTTATTAAGGATATTATCCAAAGCGCGTTGACGAATGTCTAAAATTGGATGGTCTTAAGGAATAATATAAGAGTTTTCCACTGTACCTAACTTTGTTATAAGACCAAAATTAAATGGTTGATTGCGCACACTCATTCTCAGCTAGCAAGGCGGCAATGAAAATAGAAGAAATGTGATGACTGTCATTGGCTTAAAAGAAACATTGTGCACTAAGGCAAGCATAATATGGCATCGGTTTCCTATACCCTATGTTTAGTTTACAATACACTGTTTACTAAAAATTTCATAAAAACAGCTTTATGCCTTGAACTAAAGTAAACAGCCATTATTATCTAAATCTACCCTTAAAAAATAAAATTTGCCGAATCTTTATTGGGTACTTGATGCAAAAATTTTATTTGGTAATAAAATGCTTAGCCGCCTAGCTAATGCATATTTTAAAAATGTGGGTTTACCTTTTTATTGATAGTAATGATATAACTAAACCTTAAATGAACATCTACAAAAATGTAACCTGCCTAGAAGTTTTTTAACCCATGCTTAATTAATTTTATTAATGTAATAAATTTAAGGATTAGGCGAATTTTCAAGTGAAGTGGAAAAAAGTGCCTACTTTGTTTCAATTATTATTTTGATGTACTTAAGGAGGCGTTTTGTGTTATGCTGTTTTCAAAAAAGATTGTTTTTTAAATTCGTCACATTATAAGTGCAAAAAAATGCTTCCTTATTTTGCTATCGGTAAGAAAGTCTTGAGTTATAATAAAAAAGTCTGAGGTCAATCGACTGGTTTTTTATATTGCGTGATAAATTTCACATCATTTTCACAACACATAATGCCATTTACAAAACCAGCCAAAAACATAACAATTAGATTTTATTTTTGGTGTTTTATGGTCAGAATATTTAATCAATTTCTTGAATCTTGTTGACGATATCCATTGAATGCCTTGCCATTCCCTATATCATGCGATACTTTAGAGGTCCAAATTCTTTGTTTAGTTTGCACTCAACTAACAAAACTCTTTGCCTAAATATGATAGAAGTTATGTACCACATTCTAATAATAATTATTGGTTCTTTTGAACAAATGATATTTGCACGTCTTCGTCAAATATTGAAATGATTTTGCCATTGTGCAATATAAATTAAAAATAATGACTAAGTCAGTAATTAATGCAGGTCAAAAGCCGTAGTTTCTGTAGCTTCTGAAAGTACTGCAATCAATTGATGGTATTGCTCAAGAGATTTCTGAAGAAATAACTATGGATCACAAGATAGTGGGTTGGTTCACAGGGCGTCCGAACCGTGGTATAGGTTCCGAAAATCATTTATTAGGAACTGAAAACAAGGTTTTTAATAGAATAAAACTTTTGGAGTACCTAGTACTGAGTGATTATTGCGTTTTTTGTTTCCATTAGGAGAGCAAACAATGGAAGAATATCGACAACAATTATTTGTTGCTAAGCCTTAGACCCTGTTAAAAACAAGGTAAGTTTTGGTCTTAGGCCTAAATGTAAAGTAAGCTACCTGTGAGTATTCGTCGAAATCAGATAGTTGTTTGCGGCTTTTCAGACCTAATAATATTTCATTAACGCCAGCATCTATGATATTCGAAAATTTCATAGCACTAACCATACCTATTACTATAATCGACAGAAATTGGCGAATATTCAGTTTTTTTAAATCGAGCTTAGATATATAGAGTCCTTCATGGTAAACAAAAATGAGGTGAAACGCCACATCGAAATTATCGTATTCATTCATTGCTCCTCTAACTCCAATTTTACAGCACCTTTACTGATCACGCAAAACTGCCTGCTCACCCAGACTGCATTGATCGATAACCCCATTTAGTCAGAAACGTTTTGCATGCAGTGTATAGTACGTTGCTGTCTTTGCAATCTCTGGTCATATTCTGTCATCTCGGGAATGTAAGCGATGTAAAACAGGCCAGTTCACCACAGAAGCCATTGCGTGTTACCAGACCGCACGCAGGAGGTTACAATAGAGTAAATTCATTAGAATATCGAATCCCTTGAGACGGTTATTTTTTCCTTACTTAGCGGGCATGGTTTAGGTCCTGCGGCTTGAGTTAGTCTAGGATGATCATAAAATGCTGAGTTGAATAAAAAATCAGATATTATTACTAACTGATCGACAGCCATTTTCATTTAGACACGCTTTTATGCGGTTGAGCTTTTTAGTAAAATGGCTAAATTAAACGATATGACCCTAGAGTCCTTTGAGACTACAAGCCGGGGCCACACGAAAAGTAAATATGCTTATTGCCAAAGATTTGCAAGTGACTGTATTTATTTTTTTTGACGCTGGAGCAACATGTAAACATAACTTATCCCTAATGATGGCAGCTTGAGACCATAGGGGCTAGTTGAAGCTTTGGTCACGTATAAAATTAGGATCTAAATTTACTAAGCAAGACTATTGTTGCAAAACATGATGACATTACTCTAAGTAAATGGATGTTTTTGTTTAGAGTAATTGACAATAAAAGATTTGGTAAAAGTTTTTTCAATACAAAAATATACAACCTTAAACATCTATGCAAAAAATTAGTCCGGCGTTAAAATGAGTAGATCTATGATGGTAAAAACAAATAAGATTACTTTCTTAAAGGACCATTCTAAATATTTCATCCTTTTTATGTAATCTATTTAAATCAGATTTAAACACCCCACAAACCATTTTTTTAAACATCGTCAGAAATATAAATAAACTATTGATATTACAGAAACAGTTTGGACTTTTTTACAAATCGTACCTTAACGCTTGTTACTGATGGTGAGTTTGTAATTTGTATCTTTTTATGCATTGTAAATCAAAATGTCCGTGCTATCGTAGGAAGGTGACAGGTACAATTTGCACTCCAATTGACTTGTAACGTCCGTATCTTCGACGCTGACATCCTGATGCCTTTTCAGATGCAGTAATCCCAATCTTAGACAATGCCTCTTAATCCACTGTTTATAACAACCATGACCGTCATGATAAATGCAAATGCATGACATTCTAGCTAAGGTACTTGGTTTAATAAGAAAATTAAAACGCATCCGTTGAAATCAGTGAACCACACCAGGTCCTAGTAAGAAAAAAACTGGTGCAACAGATAAAGGTATATAAAATATCGCAACCGTTCATTCTAAAACGCTGCTCAAAAACATAACGATTAGCGTATCAATGCGTCGTCCAGTGTGTCTGCGGCCTAGTACGTCGAATCACATCAATACGGTGTGGATTACCTGAGCCCTAGTATGGAAAAGACTAATAAAACAGATCAGGTTTTGTGACCAATCACAAGCCAGAACCACAGGTTAGGCGCCGTCCATCCTGGTCCAAAACGCTGGACACGCCGCTAATTAAATGCCACAGTAAAATACCAGAGCCCTAGAATAAAGAAGACAGATACAACAGAGCTGATGTCTTTACTCAATCACAAGCCAGATCTATGCGTCATGTGCCGTCCATCCGAGTTCACCACACTGGTTAGACCGCTAATTTCATACTGTTCCTCATTCGTGTCTATCTCCGGTAGGCTGCCTATCTTCCTCTCATGCCATAGGAACACAGAGAAACAGAGGATCAGCTGAGGCCAAAGTGATCCAATATCCTGCCACCTAATTAGGAGTGAAGCTGTCCTCTGCTTCTGCCTTGGTTTCCCGCACTTTTGATGATTGATAAAATATCCAGTTCGATACACCCCGATGCTCCACCCCTGGCAGGATAGTGGGCTAATCGAATAGCAGGCGAGGGACTTTGCTCTTATTGACTTGCAGGAAGGCCGCTTCATCCATTGTAGGTTCCTTCGCAGTTGCAGTCCAGCTGACTTCTGCTGTCCTTGTCGTAATCCCTAAGTTACCCATGCATCTTTAGGTGCAGTAGCCCTAATCCCAGGCAAAATCTGTGGATCCAGTGTTTAAAACATCGAATGATTCGACATATCAACTTAACCTGGAAGCGAGGGTCTTTATCTCTGTTGTCCATTGTAAGGAAAGGGCTACTGTTCGATTCGCGTTATTTAAATGCAAAAGCTGCCACCAATGTTGAATACCTGAGTCCTAGTGCGAAGAAGACTGGTACAACAGACAATATTTTATTGAATAATCACAAGCCAGAACAGCACATCAGGCGCCGTCCATCCAAAACTACCACGCTGGCTACGCCGCTCATAATATGCTGCTCCTCATTCGTGTCTTTCTCTGGTTGGCTGCTTATCTTCCTCGCATGGCATAAGGACACAGACAAACAGCAGATTGGTTGAAGCATGGGTGATCCAATATGTCTGCGCTTTCAGAAGTCGCTACAGTGACACCAATTCTCAGATTTGTCTTTCTCTGGTTGGCCGCTTATCTTCCTCGCATGTAATTGGAACGCAGAGACCGGATTCGCGCAGGGCAGCGTGGCCCAACATGTCTGCGCTCTAAAACGTCATAAAAGTGTGAAAACCTAATGGTTGGCTTTCTAGTTGCTCTGATTATTCTCGCCGCTTGTGTTCTTGCCTTTTGGAAATATTGTTCCAGAATGCCTGCTGACTTATCGAACGATGTCATTTTGATAACAGGTATTCGTTTTTACAAATTATATTTTCAGGTGCCAGTACTGGGGTCGGCCGACTGCTTGCCTTATCATTGTCAAAATACTGTCGTTCCATTATTGTTGTGGATGTAGATGCAAAGGGCTTGGAA